ATTCCCTCTGTGCTGCTCTTACAGTGTCATCTCTGTTACATTGTACAATATTGTCATATTATCTTTATCAATATGCATGAAGGCTGCTTTTGATTTCAGATCAACCCTGCAGCCTTTGGAGCCATCCTGCAGTATTTCTACACAGGTTGGTGTGTTTAAGAGCGGAAAAAGTTCAGACGTCACTGTTTCGTTTGAAAATCTCGCCTGTCCTATTTTTCATGTGTGAAAAATAAAGTGTAACCATGCCTAGTTTGTGAGAAAGCCCTTTTTGTATTTTGCCTAAATGACTAAGAAGTAGATGCCTCAGTTTCTTTTTCAACACCAGTTAAAACTATACTGGCTGCAACAGGCTTCAACCTGCAGCTGGAATCCCTCATGTTTTTAAAGGTGCCCTATGGAGTTTCTGACCATTAGTTGCTCTGTGGAGCATTTTTTTAATGAGTTGGTCCCCATTTTACACCATCACACTGTCACATTTAAAAGGCAAAAAATGCCAAGTGCACAAAATGTAAAACGACAAAAAAACAAAGCCAGACAAGTTCCTGCTGCCAATTTGAACTTGTAAAAAGTGTTGTTGTTTCTCTCCTCTATGTTTTAGGAGGAATGGATATCGATATAAGCCTTGTGGAGGAGTGCAGACGAATTGCTAAACAGTGCAAGATGACAGATTTCATAGAGGAGCTGGAGAATAAATGTAAACATGTGTATGACTTTGGTAAGACAGTACTCTTCGCACTCATCGTGTGTTATCACTGTGACTCATCTAGAGCTTTTTAAAATAGCTTCAGTGTCCTGGGACACTTTTTAAACTCATGACCATTTTTCAGCAGCATGAAATGATCTTCTCCGCATGCATGATGTGGGTCCGTGTTTTTTTCAGTGTCCAACAAGCCAGGAATCTGTGTGAAAGTCCTGACTGTGGAGCCTCAGAGCTGTCAGCTTCAGGAGGAGATGGCTCAGTTAGCAGACTGTGCTCTGCCCACTGAACTAAGAGTAAGGACGTTTTAGCAAAGAATAAGAACATGGTCACACTATATTTGTGAGCATCTGACAGTTTGAACAAGCTTTTTGTTGTTGTTCCTCTCTAGGTTGGATTTGGAGAACTTCCCTTCAACAGAGTCGACCACTTCCCTACGTATCCTGACATCTGCTTCAGAGTGGATGGTTACAATTTCTTGTGTCATAAGGTACAAACTCACACAACATAACAAACCCTGTCCCTTGAAAAAAACGGAACATTATAGATTTATTGTGTGCGTGTGTGTTTGTCTCTAGGTGTTTTTCTCCGGGCGGAGTGACTACTTTAAAGCCTTACTGCAGGATCACTTCAGTGAGGGAGAGCAGTTGCCGTCGCTGCCCAGCACTCCAGTGATCACTTTACACAACATTTCCAATGAAGTCTTTATCCATGTCATGTATTACATCTACAGTAATACCACAGAGGTGGGTGAACAGCTTCATTCTGACGTTTGCAGTGGTTAGTTTGTTTAAAAAAAAAAAAATAGAAATACTTGCTTCTCAGGCTACGAGCCCAGGAGTCACGAAAACATGGGAAACTAGAAACGCTGCTTTTACGAATCAATTTGTTGCTTCTAACCATTAAAAGCAAAGTTAACAACTTGCTCTGCCAGAAGCAATAATGTTACTTATAAAACATTCTTGCTGGTCATTTGTTTTACAAAAACAGGAAATCTCCTCTACTCTTTTTCCAGACCTGTGACATAATGTAGAATTCATGTAAATTATACTGCAGGTAAATTCAGCCTCATTGTTTGACACCTGATCTGTTCTTCATGTCCAGCTGACGACGGAGAACGCGTTGGACGTGCTGTGTGTGGCGGACATGTATCTGCTGACGGGGCTGAAGCGTCTGTGTGGGAAGACGCTCGGTATGACTATGTGTGAAGACAACGTCCTGTACTTGTGGAAGACGGCCAAGCTTTTCCGTCTCTCCCGTCTGGAGGATCAATGCACTGAGTTCATGGCCAGGATCATTGAGCGGGTAGGTGTTTGTGTCTGCGTCTACGTCTCGGATCAATATGAAGCCAGAGCCCGTAGGTTATTAGCTTGGCACTAAGACTATATGCAGGGGAGAAGTTACTACATCTGGTCAAGAATGCATTGTTCAGTTTTTTACTCCCTGTGAAACTGCAAATAGTAATTTTTCCATCTGGGTTTGGGACAAATTAAACACAATATAATGTGTGGATATGAGCTGCTTATCAGAAGTATCTGTGGGTTTTCTCTGGGTATTCCAACTGTCTCTCACAGTCCAAATACATGCAGACTGGGGTAAGGGTAATTAGAGACTGTAGGTGTGAGCAAGAGTAGTTGTTTGTGAGATCCCAGTTTTCAAACTCTCTCAGCTCTAGGATGAGTTTGAGGATAAATTCACATCCTTGGACTTGTCGTACCCGTATTTTGCAGCTAGTGGAGCAGCCTGAGTTTGCCGAGATCATCATAGAGGACGCCGCATCGCTGGATGAACGTCACGAGACCGACTCCGTCCCCTTGGTGGATGAAATTCGCTACCACATTACAAGCAATGTACAGACGTACAGCGCCATCGAGGAGGCCAATCAGAAGCTGGAGGCCTTAGAGGAACTGCTGTCCAGCATTAATATTGACTGCTGAACAGTAGGCAGGCTGTGGTTGCATCTGCAGCGAGGAACAAAAAGAATTGGATGAAAAGAAAACATATGCTTCTGCATGTTTGGAGGTTTTATTTCATTTACAGTATATTTTACAGAGTATATATTTTGGTGGTAGCTGGTTGTGATGTGTAGGGGCAGATTTGTATGTCGGCTGTTTTAAGTTTGTTTAAGATTTACCATGTGTGGGGAAATACATTAGGTACAGAGTATCATATTAATTTGTTTGCAAGTTTTGAGGAAGTGGTTTATTATATATTTACAACGGATTATCATTGTATAGCACATGCATGAATTTACTTTCATTTGTAGCTGCTAGAACAGCAGCTTATTTAGCATTTTTAAAATATGGTTTGGCCCTAATGAATTTCAGCACCGGCGCTTATAGTGAAGTCAGTAATTTTAGTTTGACAGTAACTGAAAGCAGAATGAGTCCACGCCATGCACTGGCTCACACTTGAGAACTATTGGTTACTAGGTCAAACCCTAGAACATGGCTGGACTCTGTGTAGTCGGTTGAGGACGATGTTGAAAACTTTTGTGAAGCTGCAGCTCTGTTTTTTTTTACTAAGGGAGCCGGCAGGATGAAGTCTGTTCATGGACATTCTGGGATGTTGTGTTGGACTGTGGTCCCGTCAGAAGAAGTATGCGTTGACTTCATTTATCCAGAAAATATTTTAAATTTGAGCTTTTATTTTCAAGTTGCATAGAATATGGTTTTATGATGTACTTCCTGCACAGCAGCAGTGAAGATGAACTGCAGCTTTTATTTTGTGTTCGATTGGATTTAGTGGCTTTAGTTCACTTCACTATTCAATCAATAACATTCCTCAAGCGTGAACACACAATACATTATCCCCCCCACATATTCTGGCACTTTGTGTACATTTGATGAATAATGAATCTATTTCTTGAAGCATACAGTGTGTCAAGAAAATTATGCTGTAGCTATTTGCATGTTTAGATTTACCATCGACACAGCAAAAATATTTAAAGGTCTGTTTTGAAAACGTCCTGATGTGCCTGCTGTTAGAAAAATGGATAAATAACAGCTTCTGGTTTTGGTAAATAAACTTGGTACAGTGAGCATGAGTTGTGTGTTATTCAATATGTCTCTATGAATTTTAAAGTATGTCACTGTGACTTCATTTAAATGAATTTGTTCTTTTAGCCATGAATCAGCAGCCGGCTCTAGTGATGACAGTGTTGGTGGTTTGATCCAGGCCAGACGCTGGTGCCCCCATGGGGCTTTAGGGGATTTGTGTGTTTAAGCAAAGTATCTAAACGACTATTAGCATGTGATGTCCATGAAATTTGGTGCAGATGTTCGAATCTCTCTTAAGAATTGTAATCACCCTTTCATTTGTCATCTAGTGCCACCTTCAGGTCAAATTTCTTTCTTGTCCATTACTTGGTGACCAAATACCTGCAAAAGTAATGATATCCCATCAACCTCAGCAACGCTGACAACCCCACCCATTAACAGCAATACGCAGCAATATAAACATTGAATGAAACATTGAATGGTCACTATAATGAAGTCTTAAGCAGGTTTAATGACATTTTTAATGTTAATTTATGTACTTTTCCGACCCCCAATGCAGCTCATCACAAGGAGGTCGAATTTAATTAAGAGTCAGAGAGAAACGGTCCAAAAGAACATGAATTTATCACAAATTAACAAATAAACCCAACTTTAACACAAGATTAACAGACGCCTGATTGTGTGGCCAAAACTGAAGAAAGAAAACCCCACAGATCAAAGCACATGGGAATCATCCTCTAACAACCAACACCAACAACCTAAACTAAACCTAACAGAAATATATGGACAAAAACTGGACCAGTGCACCCGCCAGAGAAGGAAAACATAAGAAACAACACACTGGATGCTCATGAGGTCGTTTTGTTCAGTCTGCTGCTGCTGCAACCAGGACTGAAGAGACAGAAACGTCCTGCTCCCTCTTACAAATCCCAGATCATTCAGATCTCCACCTGCCAAACACCTGAAATGAGAGTTTGAGAGGTTATGTGACAGCTCAACCAGCAGGAGGCAGTCAATTCAATGACTTCACTAAAGACTAAGTTTATGTTGTTATAAATGTGTTTCACTTTTATATACAGTCTATGGTTTCACCATATTGTCATTCATTATCACAGAGCAGCCACATATGAGGGTCCCATGAGGAGTTGTGAGCTTTGACATACTTAAATGTGCTTACTGCTTTTTATAGTGTTTCATAAACTATTTATCAAACTATATACAAATGCCAGACAGAAAAGTAAGAGTGTTTCCGTGAGTGGACTCAACATTCTCATATTTTACTTCAAAGAATAAAACAAAACCACCAGAAAAAGTCCCACAGCTGTGAGTGTATGTACTTGTACAGGTATCTTTATGAGGACCATTCTCAGAACTACAACCCACAGCGTGAGAACATTAAGGGAAAGTGAGGACATTTTGACTGGTCGCCAATTTTTCAGTGGACTGTTTAGACTGGGTTTTAGGGTTAGAATTAAGTTTAGGTTAGGGTTACGATTATACATTTAGTTTGGATGGTGAAGGTCAGGATAAAGGGTAAGGGCATGCATTATCCCAATGAGTGTCCTCATGATAGATGAACAAACGTGTCTGTGTGTGTGTGTGTGTGTGTGTGTGTGTGTTTGTGTGGTGGCTTTACCTTTGTCTTATTCGTCTTCTATCTTTTATCTAAATAAAGTACAGCTGTGTGATCCACAGTTTAGGGAGCCACCTAAAGATGGCACCACTTCTCAGTTTATCGTCAGCGGGTGGCCTGTCACACAGCAGCTGCCTCCTGGAGGAAACACATCTTTTCATGCATTGTGGGAAACAAATAAATCCTTCATCTTGAGCTCTGAACTCATGGGAACAGTTTTTGAATGGGGCCGTTTGTCAGTTCACATCACTCGTCCATCACAGGTTCACAAGGTCAGTAAATGGCGAGGCACTGTCACTGCAGTGATTTAAATAAGTGTATACGTTTGCATCACTGTGCTCGCTGTACAGTTTGTAACTGGCCCCCCGTTGGACTCTATCACCCCTATTTCAAAGAGTCTCTGAGGCAAAGACAAAGCCGTATGTCACCTTAATGGAGCCCTGAGGTTCTGAATAGCACGTAAGCTCAAATCCCAGCGGGAGCCCACTGTGTTGCAGAGCTGCTGTTAGAACACATTAAAGAGCAGTTCAATTGAAACACTGAGGCCATCCGTTAGACGACAAAACCCCTGGCATCCAGCCTAACTCAAGGCATACATGTAGAAAAAAGACAAGAGTAAACAGCACAATTAGTTATTACGTCAGCAAGCTCCCTTTACAAATATTTTACGGTTGTTGCTAGGTAACTCAGCATGGTTTTGGTCTTGCCTGGGAAACTGGGTTTATTGGGTTTCAGACAAGTCAAATGATTATTTACGCAGTGTGCAGGAAGATCTCATATTTCTCGTCATTTTATTAAATTCCCATGGAGACGGTGTTTGCACGTGGAACCGGCCTTTGTAACTTCCTGTTTATCACCTCCACTCGAGCAGGAGAGAGTGAGGCCTGAACACTGTGAGTGTGGAGTTTGTTTCGAAATCAGCAGTTTGTCAGTAAAATCCAACTTTAAATGACCTTACAGTCTAAAATCTTAACAACAATTTGATGGATATCCCTTAAATTCATGGCGCCCCCAGGATGTTTTGTTCTAACTTTGGTGATCCCCTGGTCTTTAATCTAGCGCCACCATCAGGCCAAATGTTCCACTTCGTCTTGGGATGATCAGGTAGCTCATGTGGTACAGCACATACCATGTACCAAGGGGGAGTCCTTCCTGCAGTGGCCTGCGTTAAAATCCATCCCACTGCTGCATATCATATATATTTTTCTACTATGCAAATATAAAAAAACATTCTTTGCAGTTCTAATCCAAGTTCACCCAAAGTGGAGTATAGGTGTTCTCCCTGTGTCTGCATGGGAAGATGTTGGTTTTGTGTAATTCGACACAGATTGGGTCTCGGTTAATTTGAGACTTTAAATTGACCCTGGTGACCTGGAGACCTGTTCGGGGTGACCCACGTCTCTTGCTCAGTGTCAGGTGGGATTAGCCCCAACTCCACCCGTGACCTTCAGCAGTATATATAGGCTGATGGGTTTAGTTTACACTAATAAAAGTTCTAACGTCCAACTGTCAGTCATTGTTTTTATTGTCAACATCAGCTGATGTGACACAGTTTATCTGATTGAGGAGAATCAGATGTATGATGGCATGAAACTGTGTGCATCATGTCATCAGTGACATCAAATAATCAATCATGTGACTATATGTCTGTTCATCCAAAACTTATTTTGACACTTCTGATTGGGTTTCAAATAATTTCCTTTTCAAAGTAATGGCATCATAATTTTATGCATGCAATTTGAACATCCTCAAATCAACCTGTAGCCAAAGAGCACTGACTAGTACTAAAGCCAATATATTTTAATTTCTCTGTTCTATCTGTAAAGTTATTATTAGCCTCGCTGTTGGTTTGACCCATCACACTGCAATAAAGATCAGCAGGATTCTTTCACAATAAAAGTATAAGTATAGCCCCAGATTCTCCTCCCACAGTTTCTTTTTTCTCTGGTCAACTCTGAAGTCCTCTCGCTGACTTATTTTGGTGGTTTCTTAAAGTGCATCATATTTCACCTTGGGTGGTTTACGGCTCAATAAAATGTTCTGTGGCTCACATTTAGGATTCACTATATTTGGAGCAGTTGGGGAAGCTGCAGCTGACCGGATACTGCTGTTGTTATTGTAATGTTTGTTTTAATTCTATTTTTTAAACTTTTTAAATGTTTCTCTGTTTTATGTGAATTCATACAAATAATTAATAACCTCTTAGAGGGGAACATTGTACTTTGACTCTGCTACATTTAGTTACTGATCACTTAGAAACCATTTATTTTAACTTGTATTACTAAATTGCATTATACTAAATATACTACTAAATACTAAATATCACAAAATTAGAATGGCACTCAGTGTGCAAACCTCCAATATTCCCCTTATGAAACCACATTAGAATGCACTAGATCTTTTATTTTTATTTGGATCTGCACCAAATTGCACACACTTATAAATATTTGTCACTTAGACATGCATTTGTTTTTTCTTTCATCAAGAGCCATGATTTATTCCATGAGAAATCAATGAAAATGTAGAAAAGGGCTCAGTGCATCTACAATATATTATCTTCTATAATACAATACAAACTTAATAAACATATATATTTATCTGTATAATATAAAGTGGATGAAATTGGCATTGATTAAAATTGAGCATCCTGTCAAACATAATGCATCTGTAAGGTTTTGAGTACAAAGTTTTTGTTTTACTTGCAAGTAACTTTGTTTGCAATTTGCACAGTTACACAGTATGAAAACAACAGATGTCTTAGTCATTTGAATGAGAAAGCTGTTGTAGCAACAATGGGAGCCATGGGGAAATGAAAAGGGAAGGGGACGAAGAAATTCGGAGAACAGGTTGCTCACAAACTGAGAAATTAAGTAATATATAATTTTAAAAATAGAAACATGTCTTTCACACTGGACTAATGCAAATTCTCAAGTACCTAGCATATCCTTCAGTGTACTTCTACCACACAGTGCACAGTTTCACCTCTGACATCTGTCTTTAAGGTGTCAGCCATTACTGCCTTGTATTCTGTGACGGACAGACGTGCACATTGACGACGTGATGGCGCGGACAACTGCTGTGTCCCCCCAGGCGACGGAAGACATAACTCACTGCTGCTGTCACTGCCAATATCCTAATTTGCAATTAGTTGGGGATTACCACCAGAGAGAGAGAGAGAGACAGAGAGAGAGACAGAGAGAGAGAGAGAGAGAGAGAGACAGACAGACAGAGAGAGAGACAGAGAGAGAGACAGAGAGAGACAGAGAGAGAGACAGAGAGAGAGAGACAGGGAGAGAGACAGAGAGAGAGGTAAGCCCATGCTTAGCCAGAGACTGACCTGAAAAGTGTTTTTTCTCTCTCCCACACTATTGTTTACCCCACTTTTATATTTCCATAAATGAACACCTTCAA